AGAGAGATTGAAAAAGAAAAAAGAGGAAAATTGGGCTTGAGCAAAATGATAAACTTTAGTTCTTCAAACTATCAAGCGAGGGAAGACTAAATAGAAGAAAATACATGCATGTTACATGCATGCCATAGACATGTTCAGGGACTTGTGTCCAAACTATGCGAAGAACTCATTGAAAAGTTTCCAGTTTGGGGGCAAAGGGAGACACAGGCAGATTGCCCCTCTGGGTTGTTAATGCCATGGTCAGACGCAGCGTGGCAGGGACACTGAGGAGAGTGCAGGCTCATGTGGCAGAGTGGGAGTCCCTTCTAATGGATTTCAGAGGAAGTGGGAGACTCTAAGTCACGTGGCTGATGAGTAGCCTGTAGTGTGTGCTTGAAGTCAGGCTGTCTCTGAATCAGGTATGTGGGGAGGGCAAGAGTCTAGATAAACAAGAGGCTGGGGTTGTAGCTTGGTGGGTAGAGTGCTTGCCTAGCAGACACAAAGCCCTGGGTTCTAGCTCCAGAACTGTATAAACTAGAGGTGGTAGCATACCCCTGTAATCCCAGTACTTGGGAGTGGAAGCAGAAGGATCAGAAGTTCAAGGTCATCCTGGGCTACATAACAGAGTTTAAGTCTAGCCAAAGCTGTGTGAGACCCTGTCTCAAAAAAAAAAAGAAAAAATAAGAAAAGACTAGAATTAGCTGGGCACAATGCCTTTAATTCCAGCACTTGGGAGGCAGAGACAGACCAATCTCTGTGAGTTCGAGGCCACCCTCGTCTATAGAGTGAGATCCAGGACAGCCTGATCTGAATAGAGAGATTAATCTCAAAGACAAACAAAACAAAACAAACAACCAAGACAGTAACAACAATAACAACAACAAAAATCAAGTTACTTTAGTTCTGGAAACCAAAGTACTGTAGTGTCAGGAATTGTCATCGTTCAACCAAAACTGAGGAACTTTGTAATGGAGTGACCCTGACTAACAGTACTCAACAATAAAAAGATAACCAAAATTGAAAGTGAGTAAAAGAGCTGAGTCATCCCTTCTCAGTGGAACCAAAGACATACAAATGACCAGTAATCACTTTAGAATTGCTCATGGGGAAAACACAATCCATACTGAAAATGGCGCCCTCCCTATTTTCTAGGATGACTGGAATCAGAACCGTGGGGAACATGGAGTCTTGGCAGGGATGGAGATGCTGGAGGCTGCATGCATTCCTAGGAGAATTGTGAAATGCTTTGGATACTTGGAAAAACATTTGGCCAACAGTTTCTTATAATATTGAATACAGAATTGCCCAGCAAGCCCATGTGTCAGTTTATACCTAAGAGAATTAAATACACGTGGCTGTTAATGAGTCCTTTGTAATAGCTCAGAGTAGTCATTCAACAACCCTTCACTAGAGCCAAAGAATGAGTTACAGAAATAGAATCAGGTTTATCTACACTCACAAGTGTGACTTAGAAAAATAAAGGAAGAGGTTTTAACCTGAGCTGCACTGTTACTAAGTGAAAGAAGCCAGACATGAATGGCCACAAACTACCTCATGATTCTGTTTGGACACCATGCCAGGAAGAGAAAGATTCAGAGAGGCCAGAAGTGGACTAGAGGCTGCAAGAGACTAAGGGAGGAGAACTGGAGAGCAATGCCTCAAGGGTACTGGGTTTCCTTTTGGGATAAAGACATGTTCTGTAACCAGATAATGGAGATGGGTCTACGGATTTGTGGATGCCGTGAAGACTCTGGCTTTTCTGTTTGGAAGGGTGAACGTGATGGGGGGGACTCTCAGGAAGGCTGTTAAAAGGGACAGTGGGAGGTAACTTCCTTCCACAGAGTGCAGGACAGAGGCGATGCCATGATAGCCAGAGAATTTACAGAAGACCTGTGGAAACTCTGCCTCAGCAGGTAACCAAGGCCACACTGACAGTGTCCACCTTGACAGGATGTCCCCTAGATGGCTTCTGTGTTTTCCCTCCCAGTATCCCACTACCCAGTCTTTTAGTGAGAAAAACAAACACCTTCTATCACTAGTGGGGACAGCGTGCAAGAACAGGTGGACAGTGTCCTTCACAACTGTCAAGGTCAAAAAAAGCAAGAGAGCCTGAGAGACTGCCAGAGTCAAGAAGAGCCCAACCCCTAGCCCCAAGAAGTGGCACCTCCAGGGCAGGAGCCTGGGACTAGGCCATCAAGTGAAGATTGAGGAAATCAGAATGAAGTATGGATCCACATACATATGCATACACGCATACAGACGTGCTTACCTCCACATGCATAAATAAAATGAAATAAAACCTTTTAGAACTTAAAAATGAGAGAATTTCAGAAAAAGAAAAGAAAATTTGGGACCAATAAAACACTTCAACTTTGTGTTGTAGTCAATAGGGACCTTTCGAAAAGAATTTCTTGCCTTTTCTGACACAGGCTGTTCCACCCAATGCCTCTAAGGCTAAGGCAAGAAGTTTTTCATTCATTAAAGGTTGGTGTGCATTTATGGAAGTGTGTCCGCAGCCCCTGCCCTACCCTCTACTTACTCGGCTGAGGACCTGGCTCTGAGCTGTAGACCATCCCTTTGGCCTGGCTGACACTTTATCCTGCACTTTCCCCCCAGAGGCCCTGGCCTTCAGCTGCTTCACAGAGCTCATGAAGAGAATGAACCAGAACTTCCCCCATGGAGGTGCCATGGACACACACTTTGCCAACATGAGGTCGTTGATCCAGGTAGGACCCACAGCTTTCTGCTCCTGACTTGTTAGAGGAAACAAAGTCTAGCTGATGTGGACGAGCAGTTTGCAGACTGGGGATGTGATTGATGGGCAGAGCACTTGCTTAGTCTGTACCAGACCCTCGTTCCATCTCCACACCCCATAAACCAAGTGCTGTGGTGCATGCAGTTCTTTTCCCACTGATTTGATTCCTAATAAGTTATTACAGTTAAGGAAACAAACGAGTGCATCATAGCAGTGCTGAGCAGCAGCCATGGCTCGGAAGTGTTAGGACTGCACATTCTTGTTCCCACCCCCAATCAGAATCTGTGAGAGACAGGCCCAGCCACTTGCTTCCAACAAAGCTCCGCAGGTGCAGCCAGGCAGGCTGGATGCTGTAGTGAATGCAGAGTGTCCATGAGGGCCGTGCACCTGCCCCAGAGGTGCTTCCTCAGAGAGGAAGGAGTGTAAATGTACCACATGACAGAGATGCCTTACTGTCTCTACACCAGCAATAATCAAGTTAGTTCTTACTGCTTTGGTGAGATTTAAAAACAGTCACCAGCTGGGTATGGTGATGCATGCCTTTAGTCCCAGAACTCAGGAGGCAGAGGCAGGTGGATCTCTGTGAGATCGAGGCCAGCCTGGTCTACATAATGAGTTCCAGGTGAGCTGGGGCTACAGGGAGAATCTGTCTCAACTCCCCCCATACACACAACAAAAGTCATCAAATATTTTGGAATCAGAAGGGTAGAAATGGGACTGGAGAGATGGCTCAAAGGTTAAGAGCACTGGTTGTGGGACTGGAGAGATGGTTCAGAGGTTAAGAGCACTGGCTGCTCTTACAGAGGCAGGGTTCAATTCCCAGAACTCACATGGAACAACCATCCATAACTCCAGTTCCAGGGGATCTGATGCCTTTTTCTGACCTCGAGGGCATTGCAGGACATGGCTACACTTACATACATGCAGGTCATACACTTTTACGCATGAAATAAATAAATAAACATTTTTTTAAAGGTAGAAACAGGCTGGGCATGGTGGTGCATGCCTTTAGTCCCAGCACTCAGGAGGCAGAGGCAGGCGGATCTCTGTGAGTTTGAGGCCAGCCTGGTCTCCATAGTGAATCCAGGCCAGCTGGGACTACGGGGAGACCCAGTGTCAAAAAAACCAAAAAAAAAAAAAAAAAAAAGAAGATAGAAACAGGGATGGAGAGATGGCTCAGCAGTTAAGGGCACTGACTGCTCTTGCAGAGGACCCGGGTTCGATTCCCAGCACCCACATTGTGGCTATGAACCATCCTTAACTCCAGTTCCAGGGGAATCTGAAGCCTTCTTCTGACCTCTGTGGCATTACACGACATGGGTGCATTCACATACATGCAGGCAATACACTCATTCACATAAAATAAAAACAATAAATAAAAAATTTTAAAAAAGAACACTGGTTGTTCTTTCAGAAGACCCAGGTTCGAATCCCAGCATCCACATGGCAGCTAACAACTGTCCGTAACTCCAGTTCCAGGGGATCCTACAGCCTCTTCTGTCCTCTGCCGACACTGCACGACACGGGTGCACTTACCTACATGCAGGCAATACACGCTTACACATAAAATAAAAATAATAATAAAATATTTTTTTTTTAAGTAGAAACAGGGCCAGCAAGATGATTCGGGGATCAGGGCACTTGCTGCCAAGACTGATACCCTTAGTTTTATCCCCAGAACCTACATGGGAGAAGCAGAAAACTGATGCCTTAAGTTGTCATCTGACTTCCACACACATGTGAATACACACACACACACACACACACACACACAAACACATAAACACACAACACGAAACATGCAAACTAAATGAATAAATTTTTTAAAACTTTTTTTAAGGTAGAAGCATCAGGGGCTGGGGAGATGGCCCATTTGGTAAAGTGCTTGCTGCACAATCATGAGGACCTGAGTTTAGATCCCTAGCACTTGTGTAAAAGCGAAGCATGGTGGTGCATGTCCATTACCCCCGTGCCAGGGAAGTGGAGACAGCAGTGGTACTGCTGTGCATATCCAGTGGTTATGCATGAGGGGTCTAGTGTTTCAGCATCCTCACCAACACTTGCTATTGTCTGCCATTTTCATTTTAGCCATCCCAGTGGCTGTCTCCTGTTCAACTTGCTGTCTCTGATGATTATTGAGCTTGAGCCTCTTACACATGCTTGCTGGCTGTTCATAAATCCTCTTTGGAGAGCCATCCATGCCAGTCCTTTGTCCCCTGTGAGCCACACCTGGCTGTTGAAGGCTGTCTGGCATGCAGTGTGGGCATGTGGATTCTGCTGCCACCTCTGTTCTAGCTCTTTCCCAGGAGACTGATGTGCTGTCCTTCCTCCAACAGATCTTGGACTCAGAGCTCTTTGAGCTGATGCATCAGAACGGGGATTACACCCACTTTTACTTCTGTTACCGTTGGTTCCTGCTGGACTTCAAGCGAGGTACTGACCTCCAACTGGAACTTATCCCCAGACCCTTTGTAGCAGAGCCTCAGAGGTGGATGTGGTTGGGAGGTGAAGGCTGAGAGGCAGGAGTGGCTGGTAAGATCCCTATTTGGGAGACTGAGGAGACAGCTCAGTCAGTAAAGTGCTTGGTATACAAGTGTGAGGGCCTGAGATGGGATCCCCAGAACCCACATAAAAGGCCAGAGGTCGGGGAAGCGAGGCCCAAGCTCCGAAGCCAGGAAAGAAGGAGGTTGGAGAGATTGTGAGGAACCATGGGCAGATAAGACATGCTTTATATATTGGCACATAGAGGCTGCACACAGGCCACACAGAGGTAGGCACACGGGGAGACAGACACGTACAGGGAGGCTGGCAAAGATGAAGGCTCAAGGTCCTGACCTCAAAGTCATATTTATACAGAATCACACAAAAGTGGCATTCTGCCAAAAAAAAGTTCTGTTGTAGATTACATCACTATTTTCTTTTGGGGTTCCCAGACATCTGATATCAGCCATTTTGTGCTGACTCGTAGCCCCCTGGATGTCCAGTGTCAGCCAGCTTGGCCCACTCTGGATAGCTATATCAGAGACATGTTGTCTAAAGATAAACTGGCCCATATGGTCCTCTGTTCCCAACAGAGGCCAGCAAGATAGCAAAGGCATTTGCCGCCAAGCCTGATGACTAAAGCTTGATCCTCGGAATCTACTTGGTGAAGGGAGAAAACCGATTCCTGAAAATTGTCCTCTGATCTGCTCGTGGTGTGATATAACATGCACCCACACAATACATGCATAATTAATCATTTAAAATTGTTAAAAAGCCAGGTGCTGTGATGCACATCTATAACCACGGTACTGTGATCTAAGGAGCTGACTGGCCTACCATCACAGCCAAATTGGGTGAGCTCCAGGTTCAGTGAGAGAGCTTGTCTCAAAAAGTAAGGTAGAGAGATAGCTTAGCAGTTAAGATTTCCTGCTCTTGCAGAGGACATGGGTTTAATTCTCAGCACCCACATGGCAGCTAACAATCATCCATGACTCTAGTTCCAGGGGATCCAACACTCTCTTCTGACCTCTGAGGGTACTGAACTCACGTGGTACACGAATATACATGCAGGCAAAACACATGAAATATAAATAAATTAATTTTTTTAAGTATGGTGGTGAGCAATTGAAGAAAATACCTGACACCAGCCTCTAGCCTCGACATGGCACATGAACACTTGTGCTCACGCATGCCCACACGAACTTGTATATACACAAAGATTCCCATTTCACAGATAAGAAAACTAAGGTTAGGAAAGTGGGATTCAGAGCTTGAACCAGGGTCTTGAACCAGGGTCTCAGCTTGTTCCATCCATCTCCAAAGGTGAGTTCCATTCTGTCTTGCTGTTCAGTGGAGACAAAGGACTTTAAATCTGGAGTTGAGGGACTTCACACATTTCACCCATGACCAAAAGTGACATCACCTTTTAATACATGCTATTGTACATACTTGAGGGTAGCTAATAACACCTGACCCATCTGGGGATGCTGGTCCTTTACTGTTACCAGCATCCCTCCCCCATACACACGAGGCACAGAGAGGCTTTGGGGATGGCCCCAGCCCACGGCCCCTGGCTGGTCAGTGAAGGCTTGAACCCCAAGGCCAACTTATTGGACTCATCAGTCTTGCTCTTTAAGGGCCTCTCTCTCTTTCATCTCCTTGCTAGACTGAGGCAGCAGCCAGCTCTGCCTGTTGAGGGGTTGAGAGAGACACCCATGGGTGCTGTCGAAGATGGAGGGAAGGCAGTAGCAGCAGTCAGGGCAGGGACAGGCCCTTGTCAACAAACCCACACATGCTCAGATTCTTCTACACAGGATTTCAGCTCTGAGAGGAACTTAACGGCCACCTGGTTCACACAATTCATTCCACAGCTGGGGAAACTGAGGCGTTGGCAGCCAGAGGGCGGTGTCAGGTCCCTTGCCTTCCAGCCTGAGCTCTGACCACTGCAGAAGAGTGAGGACACAAGGCTGGCCTGGATTTGTCACTGAGAGATGAGGGACGCCCTCAGGGAGGGCGGGGCCCTGAGTGCAGCTGATGTCTCCTATGTGCATGTGTGGTGTTGCTGCAGAACTGGTCTATGATGACGTCTTCTCTGTGTGGGAGACCATCTGGGCAGCCAAGCATGTGTCCTCTGCCCACTACGTGCTGTTCATCGCACTGGCACTGGTGGAAGTCTACCGTGACATCATCCTAGACAACAACATGGACTTCACTGACATCATCAAGTTCTTCAACGGTACCTAGGACCCCACATGACCCAGGAGGGAAGAGGGGGAGGGGAGGGGGAGAGGATGTGTGTGTGTGTGTGTGTGTGTGTGTGTGTGTGTATGTGTGTGTGTGCATATGTGTGAGTGTGTGAGTGCATGGGGTGTGTGTGATGTATATGTATGTGTGTGAGTGTGGCATACATTTTTGAGACCAAGTCTTGCTGTGTAGCTCTGGCTGACCTCCACCTCTCAATCCTCCTGCCTCAGCATCGTCCCCAGTGCAGGGTTTACAGGAGTGTACCGCCACACCCAGACGTCCTTTTGTGAAACACTCCCTGTCATTCTGCCTGCAGGGTAGAGGCAGAAGGACCCAAGGTCTTTAAGCACACTCCGAGCCAGCAGCATCTCATTTCATTTCCATGGTAACCTTGTGCAGTGGCTTCCTACAGGAAACTGAGGTCTGGAGATGCACACCTTTACCCAGGTCTCTGCATCCAGAGCCACTGTGTGATGTGGACACCCTGGAGCCCAGACCAGGAGCTGGAGGACTGTCCCAGGGTGGAGCACACCAGGCAGCTCACGAGATGCCTCTTGTTTTTCAGAAATGGCAGAGCGGCACAATGCGAAGCAGGTCCTGAAGCTGGCTCGGGACCTTGTGTACAAAGTGCAGACTTTGATTGAGAACAAGTGAGGTGGGCACTGGTGGGCACCCCTGCTGTCCTTCACCGGCTCTCCCTCCTGCAGCCCCGCACAGGCTTCTGGTATCTTTTGACCAGTGAAGATGTCTGTGCAGAGAACAACACCCTTGACTTTGGCCCCTGGGCAGTGGGATGGAGGGGGTCTATCTCAGCGCAGCCTTATGTTTTCCTGTTTGACCAAAGATCGCCCAAGTCTGGGGTTTCCCCTCTTGGGAGTTGGCTTGTGAGTGGGTGGAGGTGGCCCGTCCCTGCTCTCCTCGACTTTCCCTTGTTCCTTCCTTGAATGTGCAGGTGGCACTTGGGTGGGTGGGGCTTCTTTGGAAAATCTGTACAGGAGAGACCTCTGGAGCTCCCTCTGTACCTGGCAAGGACCTTAGAGGTGTTCTAGAACATTCCCAGCAGGTCAACTCTGAGCAGGGTCTCCGAGCTTGCCATTGTTGACATTTGAAGTCTGAGATGTCCTTATGCCCTGGGTTTTTGGGATGGTTGAATGGCATGCTCGCCGTCACTTGCACCACCTCCCAAGGTGATCCAAGGTGTCGCCAAATGTCCCCCCTTTCCCATACACAGCAGAAGTGCCCCCATCTAAGGACCACTGGCTTGGAGGCGAGCTCCCAACGTATCCCTCTCCACTCTTCATGCTAAGCCGCTCTGTCCGAAGTCCACCATTCCCAACCCAGTTAGCAAAAGCACATGGAAGTCCTTCTCTCATCCCTCCCAGAGTCAGAGATCACATTGCTATATTTTCTCAGTTTTCCTCCTCTGCCTGATGCCAGGAGATTCTTCTTTCAAGAAAGACATCTTGCAAGTGCAGTGGGGACCAGAGACATGTCCGTAGGCAAGAGATTGAGGCCCCTGGGGTCCTCTAAGCAACCATACACATTGGCAGGGCAGAGCCCTGCCCCCCACTGCTCGCTCTCTAGGAAAGCCCACAGCCTTCACCTGTGGGTCTGGGTCTCAGAAGCTTACAAACATGTGCAAGCGTGTATGTCTCTGAATTCTTTGGGCAAGTGAAGCCGGCTCCCTCTAAGCACCTTCCTCACTCAGGACAGAGGAGAGATAAGCCAGAGTTTGGTCTGGCGCAGGGTTGGTGTACATTGCCTTGCTGTGAGTTGGGGCCAGGGCTGGGTCTGAGAACATCCTCTCTATTCCATCACACCAAGACCTACCAATCCACACACACCAACCATGAATGAACTTGCACATCTGGCTACCTGTCCCTCGGTAGAGCAGGCTGGTCGTAGCTCTCAACATCCCTGGGGATGGGGCAAACAGAAGGGGAGAGGAGAAAGCTCATCCCAGAGACCTGCAGCCTCCGGGGGAGTCAAGAAATGGCAAGAAGGATTTCAGAGAGAGATATGGTGAGAGTCATTTGAAGCATGGAGGGGACCCTCAGTAAACCAGGATGGGCAGGACTCCTACCCCAATGGTGATTGTCTCTCTCTGTTCCTGTTCCACCCTCTCAGTCAGAACCCCTGCCCTCATCCAGGGGGCAGAGTGAACAGGGAGAGTCATGGACAGCCCTTGCTTCCCGAGGCCAGCTCTGTGGAAGGCCGATGGTCAGTGTCCCCTGATCTGTGAGGTAACTGCAGTCACCCACTGATAGTTGCAGAATAGGAAGGTCTTCTGATGAAAGTTTATTTTACCACTGGGCTGTTGGCGACAGATGATGTTATTTTAGTGCAACCAGGTCCAGACTCCCGATTCTTATTTATTTTTGTAACAGACCAGTGTCAAAGATAGCACAAGACACCCCCTACCCGCCTCCCTTTTGCCTCCCGAGAGCCTGTGCTTGTGCTTCCGAGTGCCTCGTGTTTATTGGTTGAGCAGCCTGATGTCTATTATATGTTTCCTCGTGTCCTGGAATTGAACATGTGGGAATTGTTCTGTCATGGACTAATCTCTTTTTCAGTGTTACCCAAGTATCTTGTAAATGTTTACTGAAGAATTGTGTCTAAATAGAGAGTAAATATATCCCAGCAGAGAAACAAGACTGGTTATTTTGTTTGTTTTACAGGGTTTCATGTAGCCCAGGCTGACCTTGGGCCCCCCTCCCACCATCTAGCAGAGGCTGGCTGAGGCTAGCCTTGAACTCTTGATCTTCCCATTGACTGCCACCTTCCCAGAAGGTGCATTGCACCCTGCTTTGGTTTTTAATTCTGAAGATGGGGTCCTTACTCACTCCAAGGTCTTGTGTAGCCCTTCGACCCATGCCTACTTCCTCTTCTAAACCACAGCCCATTTCCTTTCCACCTAGAATGCTTGAGAAAGCATTGAGAATTGGCTAGAGGAAGAGCCTCAGGGATTACAAGGCTCTCCAGGGGAAGTCGAGGAAGCCGTCACTGTCCAGTGTCAGAACAGCACAGTGGAGTGGGGCCACCTTTCCTCACCTTTCTTTCTCCTCCTTCTGAGTGTCTCCAGCCTAAGATCCCAGGAGCCCCAGTGGAGGGACTTGTGTCCACACTGAAATGCAGTGGGAGGAAGTGCTGTATGTTCTGTCCTCAGCCATTACTCTCAGCTTAGGTAGACGACAAATCAAGGAAACTCTCCCTCATCCCACACTTTAGGTCAGGATCCCCCAAATTCAAACCTCATACTGTCTACCTGTGTCATTCTGACATGTCTTCCAAGTGCCACCATAGTGCAATGTCCTTAAACCAGCTCAATTTTTTAAACTTCAGACATGGAAAGTTAGGATTGTTTGTAAATGAACAGCAGAAAATGGCAAGAATGGTTATTTGACCAAAGCACTATCTCTTACCAGAGCTTTCGAGCCTGAAACCTGCCCTTCCTTCCTTTGTTGGTGTGCTAGCCAGTGTTCTGTTGCTATAACAAATGCCAGAGATAATCAACTTACAGAGAAAAAAGGTTTATTTAGGCTTACCATTTTGACAGTTTCAGTCCATGGTGGGTAGACATGTTGCTTTTATACCTCAAGGAGGAGAGTAGGGACATACAATGGCTGGAGCCTGTGGAAGAGCAAAGTTGCTAACCTCACAGCCAGGAAGCAAAAGAAAAGAAGGGGCTGGGTCATCCCTTTTCAAGGGTATGTCTCCTAGTGTCTAAAGGCCTCCCATCAGACTCTGCCTCTTAAAGGTCAACTACCTCCCATTAATACAAAGTTGGGGACCAAGCATTTAACCTGTGGGCAGTTGAGAGGGCATTTTAAGATTCAAAATATAACAGTTAAGAAAGGAGATAGTAGAGCTGGGAGAGGGCAGCTTATGAAAGTGCTCACCACACAGGCACGAGGACCTGGATCTGAGCCCTAGAACCCATGTAAAAGGCCAGGTGTAGTGGTATGTTCCTACAGTCCCAGCACTGGGGAGGTGGAGGCACATGGATCCCTGGAGCTCACTGGCCAGCCAGCATGGCCTACTGGGTAAGCTCCAGGCCACTGAGAGACCCTGTCTCAAAAAGGGGGGAATAGTACCTGAGGAGGATACGTGAGGTTGACCTCTGGCCTCCTCATACATGGACACACATGGGCACACACAAAGCAGAGGTAGAGTTGAGGTTTGAGAGGCATTGAAGGTACGGTAGCACCCAATGAGCCTTTGTTTTTATTTATTTACTTAGCATTGCTTTTTAAAAAATAACGTGATCACACTAGGAAACTTTGTATAGGCTGGAGAATTTGGAAAGGAAGTGAATGCCATATTTACATTATAGGAACAGTGATAAATTTCACAGCATTGTTAGAAAATGCCAGTGCAGTTTTGTCAGTAAATAATATTCAAAAGTTACAGTTGACATACAGAATTGTGAGTTGATATTCTAAAATACATTGACATTATTTTTAGAGAATTATATCAATTTAGTTATTACAGTACTTTAAAAAAAAAAAATATTGTGTTTTAAAGTTTTATTTTAGACAGGGTCTTCCTATAGCCCCAGCTGGCCTGGAACTCACAGAGATCCACCTGCTGCTGCCTCCCATCAGACTGTGATTTTATCTCTAGAAGTTCAATTAGGTGACTTCCATTTTCTGTAGGGCACAGGTGAATGTACACAGGGGCTGCAGACAAGTAATAGAAAAATGATGGGAAACCTCTTCATGCCTGGGAATGGGAAAGGTCTAATGTCAAGGTCTGGGTGCCCAGGACCACATGTGGAGTCAAGACCATAGCTGACCATCAAGGGAGGTGGAAAGTCTATTCTAGAGAATTAGTTCTCCCAAGACTAGAATCTGCAAATGACAGAAACCTCCCTTGTCCCCAGGATAAGCCCAACACAGAGGCAAAGCCACTGCCATGCACTACCTGGGACCCTGGGGGAAGGACCTGGGACCCTGGGGGAAGGACCTGGGACCCTGGGGGAAGGACCTGGGACCCTGGGGGAAGGACCTGGGAACCTGGGGGAAGGGGTTGTACAGAGTGCAGCTGCTCAGAGAAGGCTGAAACTGTTGCCCAGCTTCAGGAAGTGGAATGTGGAACCATAGCTCAGGGTTGGGGACCACAGCTCCAGCTCACAGAGGGGACATAGCTCCAGTTTCACAGGACAGGACCACTACTCCAGCTCATAGAAGGGGACCACATCTCTAGCTCACAGGAGTGAACCACAGATCCAGCTCACAAGAGAGGACCACAGCTCCAGCTCATGGAAGGAGACCACAGCCCAGTGAGCCTTTTTTATTCAAAGGCTGAAAGTACTGAAGTAAGCATGACTTTCACATGACACCCCTTAAATTTGATTCATCTTTCTCTGTTCACACTTGGGAGAGTGATGACATAGGATCCCAGATCTACTGTGTGGCCTTGGGCAAGTAACTTTACCTCTCTGAGCCTTAGTTTTTACATGTGTGAAATGGGGATAGCAGAGCCTCCCTTGGTTCTGGACTGGATCCTGGGTCTCCCATGTGATGGAGTGCCCTAACCCTCAGCGTCATTGTTGAGGTGTCCTTGCTGGGAACCCATCTTCCCAGAGTTCCTGCCGGCCCTATCTCTAAGGTTCTCAGTTGAGTCTGTGCAACTTACAAGGATGTGGTTGGCTCCTGAGGAGGACTCAGGCTGGGTATGGGATAAACCAGCACAGGATGTCCATGCAAGGAGACCATCCATCTGTCTGTCCTTGGCAGGTGTGATGTCCATGCTGGCTCTGTGCTTTGCATTGGTTCCTGCCCTGCTGGGTCAGAGCTGTGGTTCCCCCAGCTTTTAACTTTAGAGTTACAGAGCACAGTACAAGCTGGAATCCAGCATAGGTCCTCCCAGAGGAGGATTTTAACCTCACAGGATGCCAGTGTGTCAGTTACTTAGTCACCACTAGGCCCACACAGCTCCTTGGGGACTTTCCATTGCATTAGGGAGCTGCAAGGAGCTCTTTGGGCCCTTCCTCATCTCTGGTCTTGGTGGGGAGATCTGGTGGGCTCCTCTTGTTTTGATGGAGAGAGCAATGCAGGGAGCAAGGGTCATCTGCTGTCAGATGGGCTCTCTAGAAATGCCTTTGCCTTGTAGCCAAGGAATCGCCACTTGTGGAGTTGCTGGGAGATGCCTTGGAGGGCCATTGTGAGGTGAAGGAAAAGACATAGCCCTGGACTTGAGGGTGGAGCTGTGCAGCTCCCTCTTGATGGTTTTATAACAGAATTTTCCTGGACTTCAAGGAACCTCCCCCAGGTGACTGATAAACTTGGTCTCCCAGGACATCTGAGTGCATACACATACTCAGTTTTCCTAATACATAATCACTATTTTAAAAAGTGGTCAAAGGTCAGGCGTGGTGATGCATGCCTTTAGTCCCAGCACTCAGGAGGCAGAGGCAGGTGGATGGATCTCTGTGTGTTCAAGACCAGCCTGGTCTATATAGCAAGTTCCAGGCCAGCTGGGGCTACAGGGAGACCCTGTCTCAAAAAAAAACAAAAACAAAAAAAAGTGGTTAAGGGGCTGGAGAGATGGCTCAGTGGTTAAGTGAACTGGCTGCTCTTGCAGAGGACCCGGGTTCAATTCCCAGCACCCACGTAGTGACTAACAACTGTCTGTAACTCCAGCTCCAGGGGATCTGACACCCACTTCTGACCTCCATGGGCATTGCATGACATGGATGCACTTACATGCATACAGGCAATATGCTCGTACATATAAAATAAAAATAATAAAATATTTTTTTAATTAAATAAAAATTAAAAAGTGATCAATTTGTCCTAGTGTTCTTTCTGGCAGATAAATCAGCTGCCTCCTCTGATCTGTTTTCGACATTATAGAACCACTCTCCAGGGTGGTTTGTAGATAGTCTTGGGTGAGCATTAGACCCAGAAGTTTTTGTCTAAGTGGGGGCACACAGCAAATCCAGGGATTATTTTGCTCTACCACAGAGTCTAGAAGACCTGGATTCAATACCCAACTCTGCCACTGATGGGCTGTATAGCCTTGGGCAAGTAACTTTACCTCTCTGAATCTCAAGTTCCTCTTCTATGAAATGGAAATAATAAAGCTTCCCTTAAAGAGAGTTGGCTCTCCAATGTGTCTATATGATCAGCACCCTTTCTCCATTCTTCCGTCAGCATCCACTCTAAGAATAGCCTGAGTATGTGTCCTAGTGACCCTCTATTGCTGTGATAAAATACTGTCCCAAACCAACTTGGAGAGGAAAGGGTTTATTTGACTTACAGCACAGTCCATCATCAAGGGAAGCCAAGGTAGAAACTCAGGACAGGAACCTGGGGCACAGACCATGGAGGAACTCTGCTTCCTGGCTTGCTCCCCTGGCCTGTGCTCAGCCTGCTTTCTTATACAACAGAAGTCTACCTGCCCAGGGTGGTACCATCCACAGTGGGCTGGGTCCTCCCATATCACTCAACAATCAAGAAAATATCCCACAGACAAGGCCACAGGCCGATACAATGGAGGAAATTCCTCAGTTGAGGGTCCCTCTACCCGATGTGTTAAGTTGACAACTAAAGCTGTCTAACACAATTGACCCCGTGTCAAATTGACACACAAACACATCGCTATTAAATCACAGCCTTTCCATTTCTTATCTCCAAATCTCATGTTACTATTACAACATAAGACAGCACAACTTTAAAAGTCTCATGGTCCTTAAAAATTCAAACACTTTAAAAGTTCAAAGTCTCTTTTAAGCTGGGCGTGGTGGCGCACGTGTTTAGTCCCAGCACTCGGGAGGCAGAGGCAGGAGGATCTCTGTGAGTTCGAGGTCAGCCTGGTCTACATAGTGAGTTCCAGGACAGCTGGGGCTACAGGGAGACCCTGTCTCAAGAAAAAAAAGTCCAAAAGAAGTCTCTTAACTACCAGCATCTGTAAAATCCAAAACAATTTAAATACTCTCGTATTTCGAAAGGCAGGAATCAGGCACACTTAAGCAAAATCAAAGTCCAGCAAAGTAGCTCAAGGTTGACCATCTGGGATTCATGCATGATCTTCTGGACTCCAAAGGGCTTGGGCTCCACTTTTCTGGCTCTGCCATCCACAGCACACACAGCTTATCTTGTAGGCTCTAGCTGGCTCACTCCACACCTGCCATTGTCCTTGTTGGTCATCTCCAACATGCTAAGGTCTCCATTGCAACTGAGGCTGCACCTTCACCAAGGGCCTCTTCTGGTCTTACATGATGCCAACCTCAGATCCTCTCCTTGACCCCTTCATGCCTTTAACACCAAAACCATGTTGGAGACTTGTACACATTACCAAGTCTTGCGTCTACCTTGAGATGGAGACTTGGGCCTCCACTGGACCACAGCTTCTGTGTGCTGACCCTGAGGAAACACTTCCTAGAAGATTTTGCCACAATGATGCTGGTCTCTTGTTACAGCTGATTTTTGAGACCCAGTTAACCAGCATCAATCGTCTCAGTAAAACAAAGGTTTCACTTCAGTGGTTCTGGTCTCTTTTTAGCCACAGCTGATTCTTCAACCCCAGTCAACCAGAAACCACAGATTCTCAATTCAAAATATCATACAAACAGCCCTGATAATCTTTGCTTCCCTTTGAAGCTTCACAAGCCAGGCCTCCATGGTCTACACCTCTTTCAGCATTATCTTCCAAGTTCCTACAGAACACCATGCACTTTTCCAGTCCGAACCTCCAAAAATGTCCACAGTCCTCACAAACACATATTGTCAGGTCCATCACAGTGAAATACCCCATGATCCTGGTACCAATTTCTATCCTAGTTACCCTCTATTGCTGTGATAAAAATACTGAGGGGCTGGAGAGATGGCTCAGCGGTTAAGGGCACTACCTGCTCTTGCAGAGGACCCAGGTTCAATTCCCAGTACCCACATGGTGGCTACGAACCATCCTTACTCCAATTCCAGGGAAATCCAAAGCCCTCTTCTGTCCTCTGAGGCATTGCACGACATGGGTGCACTCACATACATGCAGGCAATACACTTATACATGTAAAATAAAAATAATAAATAAAATATTAAAAAAAATACTAACTGAAACTAACTTGGGGAGGAAAGGGTTCATTTGATTTCCAGCAGAGTTCACCATCAAGAGAAGCCACTGCTGACAGGGGGCTGGAGAGACGGCTCAGTGGTTAAGAATACTGGCTGTTCTTGCAGGGGACCTGGATTCAGTTCCCAGAGCCCACACAGCAGCTGACATCTGTCTATAATTCCAGTTCCAGGGGATCCAACACCCTCTTCTGACCTCAGTGGTCATTGCATGACATAGGTGCATTTAGATACACGCAGGCAATACACAGACGGTTGTCTGCTGACATGTGAATACTGGGGACTGTACCTGGGTCCTCTGCAAGAGCAACCAGTGCTCTTAACTGCTGAGCCATCTCTCCAGCCCATAATTTCTTTTCTTTTTTTTTTTAAAGACTGCTGACATGTCCCATTGGCCTTGGCTACATGTCCTAGTGCTCCCAATCAGACTGTCATCTTGATATTTCCAAATGCCAAGGTAGGGAAGACACATTTACTCTTCCTCTGGAGCAACCAAGCTTGGGAAGTGCCAGCTTACAACTGCCTGTGACAATGTCCCCTGTGAGTGGAATGTTGGCATGGCTGGATCCAGGTGTTCAAATGAGTCTGAATTCCACCTCTTTCCAAAACTCACAATTCCTTTCCATGCTGACTTTTACAGGTCCCATACTCACCTCTGAACCAATCATTCTGACCATCCTTGACTAGCCAGTTGTCAATCTTAAAGCCCATAATGGTCAGAAGGTAGCTGGGGGTCATGTACTGGGTGGAGGAGGGGGGGTTTAATACAGAATGCTCAAATCTCCCATGAGAAGATGAAAGAAAATGTATGTGCCCATGACAAAGATGTTGTATCAGACAACAGGTTCCCATGTTTGCTCTACATACTTTTCAGACATATATTTGGTTCTCACCCCTATTCTGTGAGCCAGAGATGTGATGACAGGGAATGTTTGCCAAGCTATCTGTGCAGGCATGGCACAGCACGCCTCATTTACACACAGTACCTCAAGTTCATGCAACCCATGAGAAAAGCATCTTCCCAAAGAATAAATGGGCCCAGAGAGGGAAAGCAGTGTGCCCAGGGTCACATAGCATCCAAGCAGTAGAGGTGGGATTTGTACCTGTGTATGTAGCAATTTCATACAACTATAGGTTAAGCTTTTTTTGCTCCTCTCAGGCCATGTTTATTTGCTCATTTCTGGCATGAAGATGATTCTCTGAGTTTCGCTGGAGAAGAGGATGGCTGTTCTCTGGACTGTGGCCATCTGAGGCCATCCGATGATGGGCAGGAGGCTGGCCAGGACCATGTTAAGGATGGCCAAGGCATAGCCCCAGCTCAGATGGCACGCTCCACTGTGGTACACTGAGGAGCCTTTGCAGACTTCTTTGGCGAATGGGGAAGCCAGAGTGACTGGGAAAAGCAGCAAGCCCACAAGGGAGGAGGCAGCTGGAAGGAAAGGAAGCCAGTGTGTGACTGAGAGGGTCTGAGCCAAACTGTCATCCCAGAGCTCATCTGGCCACCCTGCCATTCTCCCCAAACCCAACCATTCACAATCCACTCATCCATCAACCCATCCACCAACCCATTCATCCAAGCCCCCATCCACCAATCTACCTATCGGTTGATGGATCCATCCATTCATTCATTAATCACCCCATCAATCCACCCATCTACCAATCCATCTGTCATTCAATTGATCCATCCACCATTCCACATCCACCCACCCAACCACCCATCTCTCCATCCATCCATTCATCTGCCCCATCACTCATCCACCATGCATTCATATATTCACCCATTTATCTATCCATCAATCAACTGATCCACCCACCTACCCACCATCCATCCATCAATCCATTCATCCATCCATCCACCATCCACTTACCCATTAGAGAAATGAAAATCAAAAGTACAATTCAGAGCCTGATGTGGTGGTGCACACCTTTAATTCCAAGAGGGAGGCAAAGGCAGGCGGATCTCTGTGAGATTGAGGCCAGCCTGGTCTACATAGCGAGTTCCAGGACAGCTCTGGCTACAGGGAGACCTTGCCTCAAAAAAGACACACAAAAAATACAATGCGATACCAACTCATACTCATTAGAATGGCAGAGAGAGAGAGAGAGAGAGAGAGAGAGAGAGAGAGAGAGATAGAGAGAGAGAAAACTGGAAAGATATAGAGAATGGGGAGCCTGGAAACTGTCGTGAGTATAAGGTGGCCTGGTTTCTATAAAGAAAATCTCACGGATTCTCAGATTAAACTGAACTTCCATTCCATTCCTAGATATGCACCAGGAAGAACAGAGGTCAGCCTTCTCCAGCATAGTGAAATCGGGGTAGACAGGAAAGAGCTGTCAGATCTCTCTCTGATAGTTCTAATTTATTAATTTGATTTTTTGTGGTATTTTTGAATGCTGAGATTAAGGGCATGTGCCACTATGCCCAGCTAATTCATTAATTTGAAACTGACAAAATGTTAGTATTTATTCTGCATAGCATGCATACATTTGAATAATGGAATATTATTGTCCTGATTAGTTTTCATTGTCAACTTGATACAACCTAGAGTCACCTGGGAAGAGAGGGCCTGAACTAAATAATTTCCTTAACCAGACTGGACTCTAGCTGTGTCTGTGAGAGACTGTCTTGACTAATGATTGATGTAGGGGGGCCAGCCCACTATGGGCCGCACCATCTCTAGGCAGGTGGATCTAGGTTATATAAGAAAGCTGGTTGAGGGGCTGGAGAGATGGCTCAGCGATTAAGAACTCTAGTTGTTCTTGCAGAAGACCCGGGTTCAAATCCCAGCACCCACATGGCAGCTAACAACTGTCCATAACTCCAGTTCCAGGGGATCCAATGGCCTCTTCTGTCCTCCATGGGCACTGCACGACATGGGTGCAATTCCCTACACGCAGGCAATATAGGCATACACATTGAAAAAAAAAAAAGCTGATTGAGCATGAGCCAGAGAAAAGAGAGAGGGAGAAGGGTGGAGAGAGAAAGGGGGCGGTGCCAGTGGGGCAGGTTGGGGGAGCCAGTAGCAGCGTTCCTTCATGGCTTTTGTTTGAGCTTCTGCCCTGATGCCCCTCAGAGATGAACTGTGATCTGGAAGTGTAAATCTTTCCTCCCCTGAGTTGCTTTCGGTCAAAGTCTTTTATCACAGCACAGAAACTAAACTTACTGAAGCTTTCAAAGGAAGTTCTGACCTGCACTGTAGCTTAGATGAACCTTGAGTGCGTTATGCTTAGCGAGATAAGCAGGCCACAAAGGGACAGTGTACGCAGACACACACACACACACACACACACACACACACACACACACACACACACTGTCCAGTGCAGAAGTCAAACTCAAAGTGACAGGAAGAAGGCTGGGGGCTGGGGGCTGAGGGGAAGGAGTGGGAGGTGGGTGTGTAATGTGTTCAATTTCAGTTTTACAGATGAGGAGCAGGGCTCTGCAGACAGACAGTGGTGATGGTTGTATGCTATGAATGTATTTAATGCCACAGAAGTCTACCCTGAAAAATTGTTAAGATTGGGCCAATGAGATGGTTCAGCCTGTAAAAGCAGTAAAGGCGCTTCCCACCAAGCCTGACCACCTGATTTGATCCCCAGGACCCACATAGTGGAAGGGGAGAACAGAGGCCTATAAGTTGTCCTCTGACCTCCATATGTGCTTTGTATGTGCACACACAATAAAAAGTAAATGTAATAAATTTTAAAAATTGCTAAGATAATAAATTTTGAGTTATGTGTAGTTTGTCATGATAAAACATAATTTAAGGCACAAAGTTTAGAATGTGCATATTCTTGATGCTGTATATATATTTTTTTAAAATTTATTATTTTTATTTTATGTGTATGCATGTATTTCCTGCATGTAGGTAAGTGCACCTGTGTCGTGCAATGCCTGCGAGGGTCAGTTGGATCCCCTGGGACTGGAGTTACTGACAGTTGTTAGCTGCCATGTGGGGGCTGAGATTTGAACCCAGGTTTTCTGCAAGAACAACCAGTGTTCTTAATCACTGAGCCATCTCTCTGGCCCTGATATTGTACATTTTATGCCTTGAATCACTTTGAAAAGTGTCTTAGAAATCCTGACAATCCTCTGTACCTTCACAGGAATTTCATATGTATTTATGAAGATGATTCTGTATTCTAGTCAATTTTTTTGGGCATGACTAATTTATATCTTCATACTCATTCTGCACAATCTGTATATCAAACTTACAGGTGTGACCTTAAGTTTAACTTTTTTTTTAAAAAAAATGGGAGGTTAATAAAATTTAAACTGTTTGATGGGAAATTTGTTAATGCTATTATGTCTCATAATTATTTTTTAAAAAAAGAAAATGTAAAAGGTGTTAAAAGGATATGGGAATGGAGATATTTTCCAAAATAGAAAAAATGAGAAAGCCTAAGCAATTGATGAAGGTCTGTTGGTTTGTCATGATGTATAAAGGATGAAGCAAAAATAAAATGCACATAACCTTAAATATTATA